CCACCCCCCACCCTAATCCACAGCTAAGTCAAACTTCTAAGGACAGTCTGTCTGGTAGAGAAATATTGAGAGAGGAGCCCCACACCTGTGACAATGGCCCCTGTGCTGGGCAGGACAGGCTCTTAGTCCTGTGCTGGGTCTCCCCAGGGCAGACATTTTCACCAGGTACCTTACCCAAAAGGAGTCAGATGATCCCAGAGGCTTGCTCCCTAGTGGACTGAGCTTCCCTGCCCATGGGTGAGGGGCAGGGCACGTTGGGGATGGCTGGTGTGGAACTAGTGGACCGGGGGATGAGGGCTCCCAAAGCTGCCAGCCTGGTGACTGGCTGCAAACAGCTGGGTGCAGCTGTTTTCTGCACACATCCCACCTGGACATGGGCCCTTGGAGGGTTCCTGCCAGGTGTGTGTGAGCTCAGGGTGGACAGATCAGCACATCTGGACTGAGCACCCTCATCCCTTGATGCAACGACGTGGCCTACTGTGACTGCCACCACTCTGTAGGGGAGCACACACCAAGAGAAGCTCGAGGCCCTAGCTCCCTTGGGGCCCGACTCACAAACCTGATGTTGCCTCTCAACCACAGAGAAGAGAGAAAATATAGCTCTGTGGTGGGCAGAGTGGCGAGGGGCCTTTGCCCTCACAGTGATGCCCAGAGGCCAGAGAAGAGGTGAAAACACCCAGGGCAGCAGTGAGGCCTGCAGCCCTTATGAAAGAGCCTCAGCTGATGGAGTTTTCACTCCCTGGAGACTGATGGGCTCTTGGACCCTGACTGGCTCAGGAGAAACACACACTCACCACAAGATGCACAGACCACGAAGCTCAAACCTGGGGATTTGGGGACAGGCTTGGGCAGGCGCCCTACTTAATAAGGGTTTTTAAGGAGCGGGTGAATGTGCTCATAACTGTCACTGAAGCTGGGGATCCTGGTGGCTGCCCTCTGGCTGCCCCTGTAGCTGCTGCTGCCACCTGCTGCTGCTGCTGCTGCTGCTGCTGCTGCTGCTGCTGCTGCTGCTGCTGCTGCTGCTGCTGCTGTTGCTGCTGCTGTTGCTGCTGCTGTTGCTGCTGTTGCTGGCTAAGGTTCCGGGCTGTGGACTCCTCAGCTGCGCGCAAAAGGAAGGTATAATTCCTCACCACCTCTTCCACCTTGGCCAGCAGCTCCTGGCGCTGGGCCTCAGAGCGCACAATGAACACCAGCCGCACAAAGGTCTCAATGAGGCTGCTCAGCACCTGGAAGCTGCCTGTGATGGCTGCCAGCATGTGAGTTGGGCTCTTGTCCACGTTGGCCACACGGCGGCAGGAAGCTCGGAGCTCCTTGAACTTGAGAGCTAGCTCCAGCTTATATTCAGAGATCTGAGAGACGTAGGGCTTGGGAGCACGGGCCTCAGGGCTGGCCACACACTGCCTTAAGACTGTTAGCAGCTCATTGGTGTCCAGCCGGGCGGCCAGGAAGCCATCTGGAAGGCCATAGGCATGGGCGCGTAGGGCATTGATCTTGGCCAGGCTCCCCTCAAAGGTGGACACCCGCAGGTCGATCTCCTGGGTGCCCGAAGCCTCAGGGCTGCTGCTGCAGGTGGCTGCGTCCAGCACTTGCAGGGTCCGGCTCACCACAGGTACTACCTGCTCATCCAGCTTCATGCCTGGCAGAATCTTCATGGGGATAGAGTAGGAAAGCTCATCCTTGCCATCACTGGCATCATCTGCCATGTCGCACTTGCGGTAGTAGAAGCAGTATCGGATAGAACAGCACTTGCTACTCTCACTGTCTTCGTCTAGCTCGGCAGGCTTCCGGTATACCTCCTCTGGTAGCGAGAACACAGCCATGTGTGCAGGGCCTTTGGTTTCAGGGACAATCTGGACATATGAGGGGTCTCCCAGTGTTGGTGACTCCATCGACTTGCTTTTGGCACCCAGGCCTAGGGGGAGGCCTGCCTCTACCTCCTTGGCTTCCCTGGGCAGCATGCTCAGGGGTGGGTGCGGGTACACATCAGAGGTCAGCGAGGCCCTGTCACTCTGGTCCAGCTCACTGATACTGTAGCGGCGCATCAGTTTTCGATAGTTGGGTGCTCCCAGACACTCACCACCCGAGGCACACGTGGTCAGGCACGAAACACCACTCTCAGGCTCCGATCGGCACTCTCGGGATTCCAGGCTGGTGGAACGGATGCGCTGGATATTGATGGGGCTGCTGAGGCTCAAGCCTGGGCTAGCCTCTGGCTGCCTCTGAGTAGGGGGGAGCCTGTCCCTCTCCCTTCCCCGTAGGCCAGGCACTGGTGTCTGGGCAGTCTGTGGCCGGCCTCCCCGGCAGATGCGCTTGCAGTCACAGCTGCGCCTCTGCTCTCGGGACATGCCAGGCCCCTGCTGCACAGGGCTGCTGCGTAGCTGACAGCTGCAGCGGCCAGGTGCGGGAGGCTGCAGATATTCGGTGCTGGGCAACTCACCCTGGCTTGGTGGCTTTAGAAGTTCCTCGAGGAACTCCAGCTCGTACTGCTTTACCTTCTGCAGCTGGGCCTGTCGCTCATCCGTCTCCTTTTTCTGGCGTGTAGGGAAGGTGGCAGAGAACAAATTGCGTAGCCGAAATGGCCCTCGGGATGACTTGGGCTTTGTGGGGCCTTCAGAAGCTGAATGGGTTCCATCCAGGCTTTCAAGCTTCCTGGAAGGCATGGTGCTCACCTGCCGGCTTGTAGCCTGAGGCTTCAGTGGGCTCTGGCCTCGAGGCTGGCAGCTGGGGCTCTGGCCTCGGGACTGGCAGCTGGGGCTGTGGCTTCCAGGCTGGCAGCTAGGGCTCTGCAGAGCCATGGAGTAGCCAGCTCGGGGGACCAGGCTGGTGTCTTCAAGCTTGCTGCTTTTGGATGTGCTATCCAGCTGCCCCTTCTCCCCTTGGTTGGAGATGGCACCCTGCTTGTGTAAGGTAGGCTTGGCTCCCTCTGGCCCATCCTTGCTGACCACCTCCACTGTAGCTTGTTTGCCTGCTGACTCTCGACCTGTTCGTGAAAGATAGCCTTTGGGAGGGAAGCTTTGAACAGGGAGCCTGTCGTCTTGTGGAGAGAGCTGTAGGCTGTCGGCCCGGCTGCCTGTGGGTGCTCTGGGGCTCGAAGAGACCTCAGGGCCCAGCTGCTGCTGGGAATTCCGTGAAGCCTCTAGAGCACTGGGGCTCATTTTAAATTTCAGATTCTTACTGGTACTGCCACCCATCATGCTAACCTCTGGTCTCCCCATGCTGGCCTCCAGCCTTCTCTCTCCCCTGACGGTAGGGTTCCCCAAGGTCCCACCAGTAGGAGCTAGACTCTTACTATGAACCACCTGCTGTAGGGCAGCAGAGATGATGGCTGGGGTCACACTGCCTTTGGGATCCAGGATGAGTTTGGGGCTCAACCTGACCTCCTTGGGCAGGTTCTCCCTCAGCTCTGAAACCTGCTCTTCACTGAGGGAGGGTGTGGCTGCCCTCAGTGACATCTCCATGCCGGCCCTTGTGTGGCCAGACCCTTTGTCCTCAGGCACTGGGGGCAGCAGGCTAAGACTCTTCTGCTCACTAAGCTGATTAAGCTGAGGTGACAGCGCTGGATGCACTGCCAGGGAGTATGTTCGCTCTCCCTGTGCCTGGGCCTCTGACTGAGGCAGCTTTCTCCGAGCTCCTGGGGGCCCAGGACTTTGGCCTGTGACAGCTGGATTGGGATCTGGACGCCCAAGAGAGTAAGGGGCTGTGAGAACAGCCTGAGCTGCGCAGCTCTGGATCCGGAAGGGCAGGTCCTTGTTGAGGTGCTGGGCCAGGAAGTAGGTGGTATTCTGGTGCTGCTTCATGGCAGACATCATCTCTGACATGTCTGTGAGCTCTGAAGAGTTGGTTTCATGGCCAGAGTCCAGTGATGATTCAGGAGTAATTGTGGCCAGCACAATCAGACCTGGAGGAATAGGAATGGGACCTGTTACTGACCACCACATACAGAGCATTCTGGGAGGACAGAGTCAGCCTTCCGTATTTTAAGCTGGGGAAAACCTGGAGGGCCTGAAGAGAGGGTAGGGCTAATGGTGGGAAGAGGGACAAAGAGGAGATGTGATGAAGGGTATAAAAGGCTAGAATAACAAAAGAGTAACAAAAAGAGGGAAAGAAAAGCTCTAGGCAGTTGGTGGCAAATTAACATGCAAAACAACATGCTAATCAACACTATTTTTAGATTCAACAACTAGGAAATGTGTGTTAATTGTCCTAAATAGGGTTGGCAAGTTCTAGCATTCCTTATCTGGCCAGGCCTGTGACAGCCCATGCAGCTGAGGCCATTTAGCTGTTTATCCTCTCTCTGACAGCTAGATAGGGCTCCAGCCTGGGAGCAGTTAGCACTGGAAGCTCTAGACTTGGAGTAAGGAGAACTAGCAGCCCCTCCAGAGGGCAGGAGGTAATGCAGGGGCTACCCAGTGTGAAGGGTACCCTCCTGTACAGAAAAGGCAGGTTTCCTGCACCTGGTCCCTTTACCCCCTGTCCACACTTTGCCCTGCCTCACATGCTTGCTCATAGTCCTTATTCCTCTCTGCCTGTTTTTCTGTCGCTGGATCATTTACCACTCTTTTTAAAGGTGTATGTATGTGTGAATACAGGTTGGTGTGTATTTGTCTAGAAGATGGATACATGTGTCTAGAACAGGGGAGAACAGGCATGTTGTATGGCTCTCTTAGCCTCTAAAGATTCATTGCAGTAGGTGACACTTACTGAATCCTTACTGGACATGTATGAAGCAGTGTTTAAGCTTTTCTGCAATCATCTCACTCAATAACCCTGCATGCTGTGATGACTGTTATCATCATACCCATTTAGGATGACAACCATGAGGCTCAGAACAGCAATGCCTCACCACTGGTCACACTGTGTGTGAGTTAAAAAACCTGGACTCTGGTGCCTGTGATTCAGAGCCCAGTTGTCAGGCAGAATACAGACCTCAGTTCTAAAGTGGTGATGGCTCTTGGCTGCCCTAATCCTAAAGTACTGGGCGGTTAGTTCTGCTTTTCCTCCAACCGTGTACAGACAGACATTCTTGGCCTGTCTTCTGTAGTTCCCGCAGTTCTTCTCTGATCCTCTATCCTGACCTGGCTCTGTAGCTATTGTGGCCCCAATCTCTAGGATCCATTTACAACGCATGTCCAGAGAGATGGAATGGTGAGAAGCAGAGCTCCAGCTAGGGCTCTACAGCCCATCCCTGCCATGGGCATTGTTGTTCCCTGAACACTATGGCCCATCCACTGCTCTGACACACCATTGTGACGTTAACATCCACTTGGAAAGATGCAAAGTTACATGATGACCCTTCTTGGCCAGGAGAAGGAAAGGGGACAAGAGGGAGGAGGAACAGGTGTTACCTGCTGTCTGTGGGGGAGGGGGGTGTGGTCCATCTTCTGAAGCAGCCAGGGCTTCCAGAGCCTGCAGAGTGGACACCAAGGCATCATCTAGCTCCTGGGCATGATCTCTGACTGTCCGGGTCTGCACACTGTCAATCAGTGTCACTGGAATCTCATCATACAAGAGCCCACGCAGGTGGCGTCCCTGTTCCTGGCTTTGGACAGCCCGGCGCTTGGGGTCATCCTCATCTGAGCTGTTGTCTCGAAAACCAGGGGGTGGAGCGGCAATGGCAGGCAACAGAGAAGTTGTCTCATCTTCTTCTTCCTCTTCCTCCTCACTCCCGGGTGGTGGGAGGGACATCAAGTCTACAATATTGTCACGAGAAGAGCCAGGCCTCCCACCTTTGCGAGGGCCTAGTTGCTCCTGGAGTTTGGTTTTGCAAGAGTCACAATAGAAATTCAGGGCTTCAGCCCCAAGGGAATTGTCCAAGGTGTAGGACCGGGCCCTGCTGGCACAAGGCTCGTGGTCTAAGCTGGCTGCATCAAAGTCATCAGGGACTACATGGTAACCTTGGCCAGAGCTTTTGGAAGTGGGGTCAGACTTGGTCCGGGGCCTGGTCTCCTCAAAGAAGATTAGGTTCTCATTGACATCTGTCCGGCTTTCCTGCTCTTTCCTTTGTTCCCGCATATGGAGGTAGCAGAAGCTGACAAGCTCAGAGTCGGCAGGTGGGGGCGTGCAGCGGCTCGACTTCCTGGGGCTGGTGCCCATGCCGCCCACATAACTACTCTCCTTTTTCCCCAGGTGGCCCCCAGTGACAGGGCGGTGGGCACTGTGCATGTAATCTAGACCCAGAAAGAGAACCAACAGATGAGCCCTGGCGCCGAGGATTGTGGCTGAGCTCCCTTGGCACCCTGGCCCATGACTGGGGCACAATTGCGTAACAGATATTAGGAGAACACGTTACCTGGCTGCTAGAGACTAAGGGGCTGGACTGATGGACCATGTCACTGTTAATCCTAAAAGTTGGGTGTGTAGAATCTAATGGGCCCAGCTGCTAGTAGACCAATTACCTCTGAATTGGAAAAAGGCATGCCATGAAGCATCAGGAAAACACTGTAGTGTCTGTGCCCTGGCTCATCTCTTCCATGGAGAGAATGGATCTCTCCTAGCACAAAGAAGTAAATCTGATGAGTTTTTATGCTGTGTGAAAAGTGTTAAAGTGGTTAGTAGATGCCCAAGCATTTGCATTTCCAAGAGGATTGCTGATAGAGGAACACTAAAAGCCGTGTACAAGTGGAATTCTGGGCATCTGAATGCCTAAAGCATATGGGAGCTATGGCAGGTGTGCTCTGTGGAAGGAGGACAGAGCAGCATGCTCACACTTCTGCAAAGCCTAAGTCTTCAAAATATTGTTTTTTTAAATTTTTGGACCAGGAATTGAACATAAGATCCCACGCTTGCCAGGCAGGCACCATGCCACTAAGCTATATCCCTTGCCCCAAACATTCTTTACAGAGTACATGGGAATACCAGAAATATATGTTGGAGTTTTGAAGTACTGAGAATATTCTCTCCATGTTAGGATATGAAAGCATTTATTTGTTTGATAA